TCCAGTGGTTAATCATCCTCAGTGTTAACAAAACAGAAGAAAAGCAAACCACCCCCCCAAAAAAAAGCTCACATTTCCTATTTGAATTTTCTTTGGCTTTGACTTCAGACATTTGTTCTCATCACAGAACCATTTTAGTACCCATTTTCTAACCCGGAAGAATCCTATGCGTTGCACTGCACTCATCCCCTTGATCTCATTTTTAATAAGCTAAACAGATTGAGTTCCTAGCTTTTTCAAGCCCTTGGATCGTTTTGATTGCTCTCCTCTGCACCCATTCCAAATTCTCAACATGCAGTTAACAATGTAGGTACCAGAAATACATGTAGCCTTTCAGAGCTATTTTCACCAGTGCACCATGAAGATGTACTATAATTTCCCTTTCCTTACAGTCTACATTCTTGTTCATTCAGACAAGGACCTTTACTGAGCCAGTATTTAGCACATCAGCTCAAGCTGCTTTCCCTTGTGTGTGAGACAAATGACAGAGGTGCCCTGTCCCCTTGGAGGTGGCATTTCCAAAGCTGGAGCTCGCAGTGCTCACGCCTGTGTTGGACTCTCTCAGTTCAGAACAAGACTGTTCTCCAGGAGCTTTTAAACCACTGGAAAAATATATGGAAAAGGAAGTTAAATGAAAACGAAAAAAATTCTACTAGGAGTGCTGCAAGGATGGTTTAGAAAAATCACATTTGTATCAGCACTGGTGTGGGCAGCAGGAGCAGGGCAGGATCCCTCCCCTGTGCTGGGCACTGCTGAGGCCGCCCCTCGAATCCTGGGGTCAGTTTTGGGCCCCTCACTCCCAGAAGGACATTGAGGGGCTGCAGCGTGGCCAGAGAAGGGCAAGGGAGCTGGGGAGGGGTCTGGAGCAGCCGAATGATGGGGAGCGGCTGAGGGAGCTGGGGGGTTCAAGTGGAGAAGAGGAGGTGAGGGGAGACCTTATCCCCTCTGCAGCTCCTGAAAGGAGGGGGTAGCGAGGGGGGGTTGGTCTCTTCTTCTATGTGACCAGTGACAGGACAAGGGGAAATGGCCTCAGGCTGTGCCAGGGGAGGGTTAGGTTCAATATTGGGAAAATTTCTTTCCTGAAAGGGTTGTCCAGCACTGGAAGGGGCTGCCCAGGGCAGTGGTCGAGTCCCCATCCCTGGAGGTGTTCAAGAAGTTGTGGATGTGGCACTTGGGGACATGGTTTAATGGCCATGGTGGGGTTGGGTTGACAGTTGGACTTGACTTAGAGGTCTTTTCCAACCTTCGTGATTCTGTGATCCTGTGATATCCAGTTTGTGGTAAGAAACTGTTGGCAAGGACCGAAAATCTTCCTTCTAGAAACTGTTGTGCTGCTTTTTTTTTGGTGGGACACAAATGAATCTTGTAGAGTTTGGTTTTTTTCTGGTGTGCTTCTTGAGTCTCATCACCTGAGACACCAACCAAGATGCAGCACCTCTCCCTAGCCTGTTGGGTGATTGTAGCCATTTGGTACCCTGCACTCGCTGTAATTTAGGCCCCTTTCAGCAAGACATAGCACGGGTTCACCTGACACAGCGAGGAGCTGGCTTGTCCACATGGGACAAACTGTCTGCCATCCTGCTGGAGATCAGTCGTGACGATTGACCCCTGGTTTCTGATGGAGGTTCTGCTGAAGAACAGTCTGCACGCCAGCCCACAGAACAGCAGTGACCGTCCTGCTCCTTCCTGGGAACTGATTGCCCAAAACCAGCCTCACCCCTCGGTACTGCCCTGCAAAGAGAGATACACTGATCTGAAAGCTCATTGCCCTTCCTGAGGGCAGTGCTGGATGTGAACTCCAGTGGAATAGCAGGGACTTAAAGACTTCTCGTGTTTTTTGATTGCAAGAGAGTTGTTTATACCCCAGAACTGAGTATCTCGAGCTGCTATCAAACCAGCTGTAATTTACAGGGCAGAATATAACGTCGTGTGGGCTGGGCTCAAATTGACAAACACAGGAGATGTTGCAATTCCACTTGTTCAAATTTGTTTACCCAGGGAGAAAAAAAAAGACAGGATGGAAGAAAGGAACGTCTCTGCAAGTGTTTACCTTTCCAGCGCTCTTGTTTCTATTATTGCCATGCGGTTGGGTAAAACATCTACAGTTCGACTTGGACAGCAAATTTTTTTAGGTTGCTTATAATTTTCTCACCAACAAAGAACGTCTTTCTGATGATTTTCATTACTCTGCCTCCAAACAAAGCGCTTCAGAGCCAAATAAAACCACAGCAGGTGATTGCTTTTCTACTCTGTCTCCTTGCTCGTGACTGATAGCAGCTGCTCGGCACGTCTGAGCCTGGACAAGGTGCCCGGTTTTGTACCACCCTGACAGAGCTCCGGGGACCTCACATCTTCCCTGGCTTTTTCATTTACTTCCTCCCCATGCCGTCCCCTCACAACAGGGCAGGAGCTTCATAGAGTCATAAAATCACAGGAAGTGCTGGGTTGGAAGGGACTTTTACAGCTCCTTCAGGCCAACCCTGCAGGGAGCAGGGACATCTTGAACCACATCAGGTTGCTCACAGCCCCAGCAAGCCTGGCCTTGAACATCTCCAGGGATGGGGCCTGCACCACCTCTGGGCAACCTGTGCCAGTGATCGACCACCTCATGGGGAAGAGCTTTTTCCTCATATCCAACCTAAATCTCCCCTTTTCCAGTTTAAAACCATTCCCCCTTGTCTTATTGCTCCATGCCCCAGTGAACAGCTCTTCCCCAGCTTTCTTACAGGCACCTTTCAGGTCCTGGCAGGTGCTCTAAGGTCCCCCTGGAGCCTTCTCCTCTCCAGGCTGAACAACCCCAACTCTCTCAGCTGTCCCCATAGCAGAGCTGCTCCAGCCCCCCACCATCTCCGTGGCCTCCTCTGGACCCACTCCAGCACTTCAATGTCCTTTTTGTGCTGGGGATTCCAAAGCTGGACACAGTATCCAGGTGAGGTCTGACCAGAGCAGAGCAGAGGGGCAGAACCCCCAGTTCCTGGGGTCCCTCTTGCTGCAGTTACACACCAGCTCCAGACCCAAACCCTCCATTTGCCAAATGCAGCATCCAGTGCTCAAAGGGACCCTGAACTCTTGGCACTCTCTTGTCCTGGAAGTGCCAAGTGAAGGAAGGATGTGATCTGAAGCTGATCTGATAGAGGAAACCATCTGGACTTGAACTTCTCCTCTTGTGACAGAGAGAAATTTCTCCTGCAAGGTTCTGATTTTGATCACGGCTTCTTTTCTCCTCTAGAAGTCCCAATGAATCCAAGTTTTCATGCAGGCAGCTTCATTTTTTTTCACTTTTGCTCAGAGGAGCAAACATACTTTATCACACATCTTTCCCTTCCCTTCCCCTTCCTCTGAAATGTTTGTATATTCTCATCCCAACAACAAACATTCGTCTCGGGCTGGTTTCTGTTTTGCAAACCCCTACCAAACTACCCTAGAGCCTGGCTGTTCCTCCACTCCCAGCTCCCTCCTATTTTACCCTCGAATATTTGGCAGTGGGAGCTGCTTGTGCTCAGCCAAACAGCTCACACTTGAATCCAGGTGGAGTGAGAGGTTTTTCAAGCCAAGGCAGATTTAGATCAAGCAGCAAATAATAACGAAAAAGTCATTGATCCCCCTGCCAGTGTGGAGTCTGCTCCAGGCTCTTGGGAGAAGGCAGCAGAGTTGGACAAGGGCTGGTGCGTCCCTGAGCATGGACAAGGGAGAAAAGGACCCCAAAGTGGTGTGGCAGCAGATGAACCACACAGAACTGTGTGCTATAGGAGAACCTGGGCTGCAAAATGAACTGACGGAAACCTATCCTGACAGAGAGCTAGGGAGGACCTTACCTCCTCACTAGGCATTTCTCCACACAGATCATCCCCATGCAAGCATGGACACCACAAACGCACTTAAGCACAGGTAGAAGTGCACTGGGGCAGCAGTGGGTTGTCTTCTCCTGCTTCTCAGCAGACTTCCTCAGGTTGCTCCAAGGTGTCTCCATATGGACTTCAGTGTCCCTTGGTGGGGTTTCAGAGGGAGATGCACAAGGAGCCATGCATCTCCCACCAGCTCTAAAGGCAGCCCAGTGGCTAAAACACTCAGATGTGCTCACACACACACAGTCTCTGACAATCAAAGAGGAGAAAACCAGGAATGTAGGCTTTGGGTTTGCCAAGAAAACCTGACACATGGGAGTAAGAGGTCTATGGCAACAGAGAACTCAGCAGATGGGACTTCAGGGGAACGCATCACCTGTGGAGCTTCCACGGCAAAAACACCCCACATGGCTTTGCAAACCAGGGGCCCCCCAACACATGGCACTCCAGCACCAGCATTAAGGCTGGAAGGTCCAAAGCCCTTAGGCACTAGATGTTCATGGTGCATAACACCAGGATGAAGGGGCACAGTGCAAAACTTGCTGCCTTAGCGTAGAGGATGTGCAGCAGCCTGTTACATGGCCCCTGCACTTCAATCAGACACTTTTGAGGCATTAAACTGAAGACAACTTTCATTGCAATCGAGCTGGAGCTAATCCAGGAACTGGCAGCACTTTCATTTTTTTGCAAGTAAAGATAATAAACTGTGACTAACAGGATGATTTTGAACTTAAACCCTTCTGGCTGCTGCTGAGAATCTAAGAAGTCCAAATATGACTGTGTCCTTAGATTGCACCTGGTGCCCAAGAACAACTGCTGAAGCCATGCAGCACTTTGAAGGGTTGGGCTCAATTTAAAGTGAGATCTAGGGTGTTTTTTGAAGCTTCTTGCTTAAGCATGTTCACCCAAAGTCACGCAGCAGCTGTGAAAGTGGAGGTCTCAGGGAAACTCCTAAGTGAGCCTGGATTTCCTGGTAGAAACAGCTCTGCAAGCACTATTGCACCTAGCATGTGTCTCATGGGGCAGGAGAGGGCACCTTATGACACGTCTCGTCACCCAGCCCAGGCTGTGCTCAGCTGCAGGGTGTCCCTGGGCCATGGCTGGCAGGAGATGGTGATCTTGCAGCTCCACTGACCATCTCTGTTTTGTCCACAGGCACCTGCACAACAACCGGATCCAGACCCTGGGAGCCAAGGGCTTTGATGGGCTGCACAGCTTGGAAACCCTGTGAGTTCCCTGTTTTCTTCTCTGTTTGAGTTCATCCCCTCCAGCACTGCCTGCAGCAAAGGGCTGGTGTCTCTGGGACAGCCCCACTGCTCGGTCACTGTCACCACACTGGGGGCAGCAGCAAGGCTGGCTCCAGGCGCCGTCCCAGTGACTCGATGGCCGTGATGGTCCCTGGGGTGGGGGCAGCCTGGACCTACTCCCTGGGTCTGTTCACAAGCTGATCTGGCCATGCTGCTGCTGCAGGGGGGTCTGCACATCTGGGAGCTGGGAGTGGGCTCTGAGGCCCTGAACACAAGTCCATCCCTAGTGCAATCCAGAGCGCTTACATGCGTGCCCTGCCCACTTCCTCACCACATGCACAGGGTCCCAGAGCATCCTAAATACCTGACTCCACCAAAATGAGGGGTTGGCTTGAGTTCAGGGCTGGTAAAATCCCTGGGGATTTGTGGAATGGTCTCACATCACCTGGCATCACCCATAGCCAGCTGCCTTCATCTCACACTGTGTTCTTGGCATGGCTGGGTAGGCAATGGGGGGAAAGTGGGAAGAAGGAACACATCTGATGTGCCTCCAGGGCACATCTTCATCACCAGCAGAGGGGTGATCCCAAACTCAGAGAGACTCAAAGCTGACAGCCTGGTCTTGCACACACAGTGCCTTTGATGGCAGTATGAATTGCTTGGGTCTTGTGCGCCCAGCACTGGCCTAGGAGGAAATGTAAACAAGCAAGTAAACAAACCAAGGCTCTGAAAGACTCAATGAGGTGACTGCTGCCTTCAGCTGTGCAGAAACGCATCACCCTATGCAGGCATTGGGGTCAGGCCCTCGCTCCCTGCCAGGGAGAACAAGAGTGTCAGGGTCACGGCAAAAAGAGGTGGCGCTTCCCAGCGTTCAAGTGCCATTTGAGGAGACAGGACCCCTCTGTGCCCAGCACGGTGCCAGCAGCAGCAATTGAGTGGAAGCAGCAGGAAGGCACTTGGTCCCCAGACGCACGCCTCAGGGCAGGACCGTGACACCCATTGTCTCTTCCTCTCAAACTGGCACGTCCTGGGGCCACCCAGCAAGGCTGGGCTGGGGAGACTGAGCCATGCCAGGGGTGCTGCAGGAAGGCAGGATGCTGCATGGTCTCCTCCAGTGACCCACGGGTCCCCCCATCGCTGTGCCCGCTTGGCTTCTTCCCAGCCATTTCTGGTGAGCACAGACAAATGCATGAGGGCAGAGTCATGGCATCTGGGCAGCACAAAGGCAGGTCAAGGAGGGAGCAGAGGACTGGCTGATGGAAGAAAACCCTCTTTGAGCTGTAACCCAGCAGCAGCAGACCAGGCAGCAACATCACAGCTTTCATCAGGGCAACCTTATTTTGCAGACAAGGTGATTAAAGCCACTCTGCTGCCCATCCCAAGCAGGATGAAGCTGCAGAGAAGAAGCTGGCACCTTATTCACTGTGGGAAAGACTAAAGGGCTTCCAGTGCCCTGGGAGATAATTCAATTTCCATAGACACTTGTTCTGAAAGCTCATGTCACCTCTGCTCTCCTCTAGCGCTGCCTTTTGCTGCCCACCTGAGATGCCCCTGCATTCAGGGGAGCTCAGCATCTCCCTCTCCCACCACAGGGACAGGGCTCTCTGCAGGGCTGCAGCAGGGGATGTCCTGTCCCTGCTGACCAGGCAAGCCAGGACTCAACCCCCAGGGTTTGTCCCCTTGGAGAAGGGCTCTGCCTGCCTGTGTCAAGGTTCTGATGGCCCGAACTCCTGTATGGGAGCATCACACAGCCCCCACCTCCACCAGCTGCCTGCAGCCACAAGGACCATGCTGTGGGTGAGACCTCCAGGCTCTCCTTCACTTCTGATCACAATGAAGCAGTGTCCTCAGGAGCTGCTTTTGCTCTTCTTGGCCTGAGCATCCAATTCTCACCTCCAGGCCAGGGAGTATTTCAAGTCACTGATCCCTGGGGAACACATTGTTCCTCAAGTGGAGCCGTCCCCATCACGTTAATTAATCTCCAGCACTCATGTGTCCTGCTGACCAAAGCTGGCCAAGCTCTGGGGCAAAAAAAAAGCCAAACATTTGGCTGCAGCAGCTCAGCCAAGCTGCTAGACCTGCACCTACCTCCCACCTCTCAGCTCCTGTGCATGTGGAGATGATTACACACATACCCTTTATCTCAAATTATGATTGCATTCTGTTGACAGCACTTAGCACATTTTCTTGGCTTCTGGAGGCCAAACTGTGCTCTCAGTTACCCCATGGGCATTACCTCCTGGAAGGCAGCAGGATGGTAAGAGCTGGTAAAGACAGAAACTTCTCCAGGGTCCCTAAAATGAGTGGGTAGATGCTGATTACAAGCCAGACACAATAGCTGAAGACCTGTAGAAGCTGGGAGGCAAAAAAGTGCTTCAGGCTTTTCAGAAAAGCCTTGGAAGTTTTAGATGCAGAAACCTGTGTTCCTCTAAAGGGAAATGTTTCTTCGCCTATTCAGCTAGTTTTTATCAAATGCAGCCAAAACTTTAAGAGAAACAGCATCCACTGCTCCATGCAGGACTTGGCACTGTGCAAGTTGCCTATGCACAACCAGACACCAACCTCAGGTCCTATCATTTCTGCAAAAACAGACCCCAGTGCAGCACCTCTGTTCCTGTAGAGGGCTTGGGCCAGATATTTTAGGAGGGCAGCAAGTCTAGAAAGAGGTAAAGTGAAGCCAGATGAATGATTTCATGTCTCCCCTGTGCACATCAGCTCTGCCAGGCACAGAGCAGGAGCAGCTCTGTGTTTCCCATGCTGATGTGGGGAGGGGAAGGAATCATGAGGGACAGTGGGTGGAGCCGCATGTGCAACACCCACCAGGTCTCAACTGGTCAAACACCAGCAAGTAGCTGGAGACAGCAGCTCCAAGAACGTGTATATATTCTCTGTCAGGGCAGGATCTGCCTGTTCACCAGCCCCTCAGCCTCCTCTCCCTTGGAAGGAAACCTGGGCTGGAAGCAGCTCAGAGCCGCTCTGGCCAGATTCCCAAAAGTGTTTCGAAGCAGCCTTGAAACCCAGTGAGATACCCTCACCCATTCCCATAAGCCTGAGAGATGACATGGAGCAACCCTGCATGGCCGTGGGAAGAAACCCCGTGACACCAGGAATTATATGGTTGAAGTGGGTGATATCTGGTGCTTTTTAGCACTGTCCCAAAGACTTGAAGTAAAGAAGAGTGTAAATGTCCTCGTGTGACACGTTCTTCCTGCAGCCTCTTTGGGTAATGGACCAGATCCTTTAAAATGAGGCATGAGGTGCCCATAGGAGATGCAGAGCAGGGCCAGCAATGCCTGGTGAGTGGAGCAGGGCCATCCAGGCACAGGGACTTTTAAATCCTGAGGAAAGGACAACCATGAACCCCAGGCATGCCCAGATGGGGAGAGCTGTGGCCAAGGGCAGCGTTTGGACCACAGAAAATGGCCTGGTGCAGTAGGGTGGGGGAATCCTGAGAGGGCTTTGGATGAGGTGTATGAGATGAAGTGAAGCAGAAAAGCAAAGCCAAGGGGAAACACCATCTTTTGCTGGAAGCAGGAGTGAGACGTGCCAAAAGCTGAGGGTCCAGCTGCACTGCTCTTCATGCTCCTGCTTTGCCTTGTAAAACCTGTGATGTATTGCTCTTTAAGGCATTTAATGTGTAAAACATCAGGCAGCATAACCAGCTTCCTGCCATTTGAGTGGAAAGATCTTAACTTTTACACTTCCTGATTATGTTGGACTTAATTTCTCAATCTTTAACAATGCAGAGAGAAGGGATGGGGGGTTAGGTTACACCTGTTCTGTAGCGTAAGCCTGGTAAGGAGGGATGTTCATGGAAAAGTTAATGGAAAGAGAAGTCAACTGCAGCCAGGAGCGTCTCTGCAAAGACAGAGTTTGATTCTTGGAAGCGTTCAGACCTTGTATCAGGGTAGATGGGGCTGTGTGTTCACAGGAGCAGCAAGGGAAATGTGACATCCAAAGGCTTGCACAGTGCTGATACAGCAGCCATGTTCCCGCTGCTGTGTGCAGGCAGCATTTCTCATGGGGGATACTTGTACCATGAATTTCCACAGTGACACTGGTCCTGTGCCCAGGTTTCCTCCCTACCTCCTCTGCCTGGAAAGCAAAGGTCCCAAGGTCCTTGAGCTTTGCAGCCAGTTTGAATGCAATCTAAAGGCTGATTGATAATTGCCTCATGCCTTGCATGAGTGCTTGACTTTGACCTCATTAGACAGGTTGTGATAACGCTGAACTTGGCCCTCTGCTTTCCTGGAATTTAAATGTTTGATGGATCAGACCTGGAGGGGGAGGTGAATGCATGAAGTACCTCAAGACAACCAAGCCCCAAGTCACTGCTCTCTGCAGGGTGAAGGGACGAAATGGGTAGGGGACCTGAAACTATGCAGCCAAATACGTATAAAATATATATGTGTACGTGCATGTGTGTATAACGCTTCACAGATAGCCACTGGGGAGGGAATTTAATCCTGGAAGCTGAATTTCAGAGCAGGTCTGCAAGTCCTAGCTCCAAACACCAGCACACATAAGCCATCATTTGGCATTTCCTCGCTTTGTTGCTGTTAGGGAGCCACCAACCCCTGGTGTCCCCAGACCGAGGGGGCAGCGGAGGGGGTGGAAAGGTTCCTGCATGGATCTTCCCATGTCTTCCACCAAAACAGCAGAACTTCACTGAAAATGCCCCTGGGCTGGGAGGTCCACTTTGAAGAACAGGGAAAAGTGTTTTTTCTCCCATCAGGACGGTTTTGCCCAAGCAGGGAGGGGGTGTGTTGTGGCCCCAAGTGCTGGCTGCCACACACATGTGGAGAGGAAGCCGCTGAGGCCAAGGCCTTGGGGCCATGGTACGGGCAGCAGCGCAGCTCGGGCAGGCCTGCGCTTTCGCATGGCTATCAGGCACAGATGGGCTGGCAGTGCCGAGCACCCCAGCATGGGTACGTGCAGGGTCCCCCATCAGAAAGGCCCACATATCCCCCAGTGCCTGCC